AAAAAAAAAACAGTCTTAAAAAAAACATCTATTAATTTTTAATGCACTATTTTTGAAGTCTTTCGATGGCATTTGAACAACCGGTCAATAACAGTGTTAAGTAAACGAAGTATAATGGTAACAGCACTGTTCCTTAAGGTTTCTTTGTTTCCTGAATCTATATTTTCGAGTAACAATTGAAGTGAAGTACATTTTTGCCATTTCAAAATTTGGCTGACATTGTTTTGTAGCTTAGGCTATAAGGCTTTGTAGTGAAAAAACGAACCTTTAGAATATTTATGATGAAACTGTCAATTATAATTTTTTTTGTTTCGTATCTATAAAAAACAGAATTTGCAAGCAGGAATAATTAATGCTAAATTTGAAAAAAGAATGAAATGTTAAATGCTAAAAAGAACCGTTTAAAGTGAGTTAAAAAGTTGTTGGTGAACAAAATGACTTGGAGAGTGGCGATAAGGCAGCAGCTATAATTTACTGCTGCTGCAATATCAGTTACATAAAGTGAACAAAACTGATTACACCTGAAATGGTACAGTCGTAGCAACACGTAGAAGAATATCTTCATAAGTTAGTGATGAGGTAGTACGTACCACAGTGAACGCTTGCATGCGAATCTTATTGAGATCTGTTTTTCTTCAGTAATGCTAAAATGAAAAGAATAAAAAAGTATGAGAACAATTTCTTAACTGCTAAAATGTTTGTTAGAAAAAAAATTTTTTAAGTCTGCGTGTTTAATATAGCAGAAAAATGCTTCATTCACTGTGAAAACTAGATTTGTTAAATTAAAAAGGGTAAAACCATCTACCACAACTTATTTAAACAGCGTAAACTGTTTGACTGACATTTGAAAATGACAATCTTTCCATGCCGGAAAAGCAAATATCAAAATTTTGATTTTGCAGGAATATGACGGATATGGCAAAGGAGCAATATTTGGTCATATTCGTTCAGCAGTTAATATTCCGATTGATACTGTTTACAGTTGGACACAACAGAAGTGGAAGGACAATCGGGAATTGGAAAAGATTTTTACTGAACATGGCATTGAACGTTCGCAGCCAGTGATAGTTTACTGTTCTACGTCGATCCGGGCTAGCATGATCTGGTTTGCTCTACAGAAAGCGGGCTATTCAGCAGCTATTTATTTTGGTTCTTGGCCTGAATGGTTAATTAAAGCGCCTGATTATCTAAAGATTATTTCTGACAAAATTTTGTTGTAAAAGAGAGTATTTAAAATTAATATTACTGAAAAACAGTTTTATCATAAGGTCCTTAATTAAAAAGAATTTGTGTAAAATTAGAAAGTTTTGTTCCTACTTAAAAAGTAGTTGCTTATAAAGCATACTCTCTAATTTTACTTATTTATCTTTTTTTAAAAACGAAAAATTGTTTCGCCTGTCAAGAATTTTTTTTTGTGACGTTCAGACGTCATCTATCAGGTTTTTATTCTGCGCAAAATATTAAGCAGTTTTAATGATTCCAGTTCTTTCTCCTAGATTTGAACAACTAATTTCTGCAAATTATAAAAACTTTAGACAAAAGTACTAGCACAAGTTTACGTCAGAATCAATGTTTTCATTAGATAAGTGCTTTTTATATCTTTGCAAAAGTATTTTTGTTCAGCAGCAAACAGTTGGCAACGCTCAAACAGAAATCTAACATACGTAAAGTTACGCTTTTCACGTTCACTAAACAAGGTCAGTTTTCGGAGACGTTAATTGAGCTGTGTCAAATAGTCTTTTATCTGATACTGCCTAATCTGATGCTGCAGAAGAGCCGTAGCTTGTTGTTTTTGATTAATCTGATCAGCAAAACAGTCAAATATCTATCGTCAGCGTACACAATTAAAAGCAAGGTAGGAATACTTATTTTTTCAAAGAAACAAAAGAATAAATATTTTCATACTTTATCTTTAACTAAGAGAAGAAGGAAGAAAGACAGAAACATAGTATCTGAAAGCTTTTACGATATAAATTTTAAAAAACTTTATGTTACAAAAGTTAATTCTTTTTTCCGTATAATACTTTATATATTTTAATTGGTTTTTGATCATAGGAAAAGAAATTTGTACTACTGATTGATTATCTGTATCAGGAAAGATTTTTATTCCAATTTTTTAATGTTTTTTTAGACACTATTTTTTTCTTTAAAAAAAATTTACAAATGTCTGATGCTATTTCCTCTTTTATTTCCTGAATCAGTAATCGCAGAGAGTAATAGAAACCGGTGCCTAATTACAGAAGATAATTGCAATACAGAAATAATGCAAATAACGATAATTACTTTTCACTTAAATTTCAGTTATCTTTCACCAATTTCTTGTACAAAATGCTTTGATGTATTTGTAAATGTTTTAAAGAGTAAGTGTTTCTCCAATTATAAACTGCCACTACCTATATGTTTACATCTTTCGTATTTTTTGATTACTTTTTGTTCGTTATTGCTTGATGTCATTGATATTTATGCCCAAATATAAATACTTTTTTTATATTTGAACTGTAAATAAACAACACAAATTTTAAAAGATATGAAAAAAGTTGCAACTCTTTTTGTCATCACAGATATGCAGTAATGAAATGTTATTTTATAACTGTCGTACTATTCTGCTTGTATTACCCACAGGATTCCCTCTAAACCAGACGCCAAAGATCATTGTTCCATTTCAGTTATTTTGACTGATATATTGATGATTGTCATATGTCGAGAACTCAGCAGATGACACAGCGTGCAACAGTATAATAGCGGTCAAACTTGCCAAAGCACTTCTCATTAGAAATCAGTCGCTGTCATCAAATCTGACTGGAACATATTTTAATCTAAAACAGTAATACTAAAATAACATAAACTGTAA